TGTGGGGGGCGAAAGGGAGGTCAGGAGAACTGTAAACTTCCACTTTAAAAAAGCCTATCTTGATAACACCTTCAGGTTCTTGAAAACATATTCCCAAATATGTACTTTTCACAAAAAATATTATAGTTGGTTATATTTTAAGCTTTGGCTTCCTTAAAAGCAAATGTATCCTTACATTCACCAAGTCCAAATGGGAACCACCAATAAATCCTATTAGCAGAAAATGTCAGCTAAACTGCATTTCTGTTTTTATAAACACTTAACATACAGGTTTGTGACATGGTAACCATGATCCTGAATCTTATACCACATTTTCATTTTCAGTAGCCAAGCAAACCTAATGAATTTCCCACGTGACACATTAAAAGGCACCGATGATAGATTTTTCTCAAAATTCACGTAAGATGAGAAACCTTTTGCGATCTGTGGCATGCATGCTACAGGACTTTGGGACTGTCATGAGTTTGGTCCTGTATATGTAGAGACAGTGAACTGGCACAGCAGCAGCAGAGCTGCTGGGGTTTGGCCCGTCAGTCCACTGGTTTTCCAGGGTGATGGTGGATTTCCGTCGATTTGGATTCCCTGTTTGGTCTCGGTCCTCAGAGGAAGGGTGGTAGCCTGCACCCGGAGTGGGTGCCAGCCGGGAGAGCCGAGCAGAGCATGCAAAGCTGACTGCTCACCTGGTGACTGACCGACTTCACGGCCTGTGAACTTGGTCTCATTTGTTTGGTGTTCTCACCAGCTGAGCTAGCTCATCTTTTAAGATAGAATTGCACAGGCTCACACAGCTTTCCAGAGTTGTTTTCTCTTCCAAAGAAATATCACCATTAAATTTCCGAAATATTTCCTATCATACTGTGGACTCAGAGGAACTTTATGTAAGCATATTCTGGGGTCTGACACTTAATTTTTTGAATGCACTGAAAGTGAAATTTAAACAAATGTAGTGAATGTTTGAGCACAGAGCAAAAACAATAAAACAAATTCACGTCAATTGCCCTTTTTTAAATTAGACAAGAGAATTTCAAAGGTCTCAAGGTAGGTAATTAGCAATACCACCATGTGGCAAAAAAAGAACTAGAAAGGGAGTCTGGAACCCTGAGATCTAGTCCTAGTTGTTGCTATTTAACATGTCACAATTATCAGGTTTTCATTTGTAGAATGGGAAACTGGGCTTGACACATTTAAGAGCCCATCCAATTTTGAAATACTAAGAATTCTTTTTCGTCTCAAAAATACATAAATCATATATTAAATGTTTTTAAATCTAGATTTTTTTAACCCATGACAAAATTAGAGCTGCTAAAATGTTTTAAGATAAAACATAAAACCAGCCTGCTTTTTTTTTGGAGGTACGCGGGCCTCTCACTGTGTGGCCTCCCGTTGCGGAGCACAGGCTCCGGACGCGCAAGCTCAGCGTCCATGGCTCACGGGCCCAGCCGCTCCGTGGCATGTGGGATCTTCCCGGACCGGGGCACGAACCCGTGTCCCCAGCATCGGCAGGTGGACTCTCAACCACCGCGCCACCAGGGAAGCCCCAGCCTGAATTTTTAATCAAACATTACTAGGGATGGAAAGATACCTGTACAAAACATCCTCAAGGAGCTGTTTTTCTCCTCCTAAAAGACAGGATCACCTAGGCAATACAGAATATATTTTCTTAAACTAATTATTTTCTAGTGCAGTGCTGCAGTATTACTGAAAGATTTTAAAAATACATCATCAAGGTATTTTTCATATATGATCTAGAAATATAATTTCCTCCTTCTCTCTCCTTTACTGTGAAAGATCCTTGCACAAGTGTAAAAGTGAAACTTGAATCTCATCTGAAAAATGTCTGTCTTCACTGCAGGGTGCTGCTCTCTGAAGGCTGGATTTTGCAGCAGAAAGCAAGCACGGGCCAAACTGGTTTTAAGTTGCAAACCAGCAGAAATGATAGGAAAGGTTCCCAAGCTAGAGCTACAAAGCCTCTGATGTCCTAAAGAAGGTAAGCCTCCTATTTGGAACATTAGTCCAAAAGGGACAGAGTCAAACGGAATACCTAAGGAAACAATCATAGTTCATTTGGGAGCTTCTTTTATTCCACCCACTTTAATTAAAAAGTCAGATAACAAAGTTGTAACTTATTTCCAATTAAATACTGAGATGAGCATAATCCACATTTGCTGCCAATCAAGGTATTTAAAAGAATGTACCTTTTATTTCAACCAATCCTTCCTCCGCCTCTGAAAAAAAAAAAAAGAAAATCTTGTCTATTATCGATAGTATCAATTTAAGTAGCTCTTTTTTCTTTAAAAAATGTTATAAAATGTGCTTCAAAGAAGCCTTATTTTATAAGAAAGATCTATCAGTTATAAGGTATAAATGTGCCTCATGGGTCACCATTGAGTCGCATGGGGCAGCAAAATTGATGATACATATATTAATGTTGCAAACTGAATTGTTACATTGAAAAGGGCGAGTTACAATTCAGGGTCAAATAGCTGTATTAGCCTAAATTCTTGCCACTTTAAATTGAAATTTATTGGACATTTTAATAGCTTTTTAAATTGAGAGATTTATCAAGTACTTAAATTTTTAAGTATTTTTCTAACTTTCTTCAAATGAAACTTGTAAAGGAAAAATGAAGGGTGTTTTCTGCTGAAACCTTTGCTGAGTAATAAAGTATATCACCAACCAAAATAATTTTGAAAAATGGACTATTTGTAGGTTTCTAGGATCAAAAATGCATAATGGTACTAAAGAACAGTGTTTAAAACAAGTGCACTTAAAGCGATACTTTCATTTTCTTTTTGCCTATAATCCTTATTGGATTTATATAGCACCTATCTGCCAAGGAACTCAGAATGCCTTATAAGCTTATAGACTTCGAGTATTATGACTACACAATAACAAATGTTTTCAAGCAGTAATATTTTTTACCTTAAGAATATCTATTTCCATGTACTGGGGAAGAGCAAGCAGTGATATGATATAAAATTGGGAAGTTTATACAAAGGAAGAAGCAAGGGGGTGAAAAAGAAGCAGAAAATCATAAACTTCAAAAAAGCCATCACCTAATGGGCAAAAACTCGGCTTCACTGTGTCACAGATTCTGCTTCAGTGAGTTGATGAGAAAAGCTAGACTGACAAATCTAGCGCTTTCCTGGATGTTAGATAGAGCTCAGTTTTTAACTGTTAGATTATCACATGATGAAGGAGAAATCATTCTTCTGAACAGAGGCGCTATAAATATTACAATTTGTTGTTTTCTACAATATCAGCAGACTTAGCAATGAAAGCCCATCGGCAGTGTATTCCTAAGATGGTGTGCTTTTATTTATTAGATGTTTTCACTATTTTTTGGCTGTGTTTTGGCATCACCCTTAGGAAATAATGGCAGCCAGCCAGTGTATGAATTCCTGGTGAACACTTAAAATGTTTAATGGAATAATATTAAGTACCATATATTTAACCTTTTCTTAGGAATTGTAGGATCTGACGTATAACCCCAAAATAATGCATACTATTTCATAAAATGAGCCTTAAGGAACTTAATATAGTTAAAATTAAAACATCATATTCTGTCTGTCTAATCTAATCTAAACAAGGAACAGATTCAGATATTTTTAGCTCTATTTTGAAAACTTCTGAATTTAACTCAAAGAGGAAAAAGCTTTCTATGCTTCTATTGTAAAAAAGATTTCTAGAACTAAAGTACTGTCTAATCCTATTTCATTTATAAAAGTATGGAAACCTAAATTTTATTTCAAATATAAAACACCCCCGAACATGATCTTTTTTTTTTTTCTGTACGTGGGCCTCTCACTGTTGTGGCCTCTCCCGTTGTGGAGCACAGGCTCCGGACGCGTAGGCTCAGTGGCCATGGTTCACGGGCCCAGCCGCTTCGCGGCATGTGGTATTTTCCCAGACCGGGGCACGAACCCGTGTCCCCTGCATCGGCAGGCGGACTCTCAACCACTGCACCACCAGGGAAGCCCACCAGAACGTGATCATTTTAAAGGGAAAGAAGGGCCCTAAGACTTGCACAAGTTTACCTACACTTTAAATTAAGCAATAATGGCTAAATTAAAAGTCACTTTATATAAGAGTTTAGAGATTAATGGAATTTACTTTTAAACTTACTTGGCAAATAATAAACTCTGAAAAAAATCTTGTCTATAATTGACAATATCACTTGATTAATCAATTGCTTTTATTTACACCTAAGTGTGATTTATTCTTCACAAAGGTGTATATACTAACATAGAGTTTAGCTAAAATCAAAATGTCCCCAAATTCTTAAGTGCTGAACTGAACATAAGAACCTACGATTAGTTGAGACACTCGTTTGTAAACATAGACAGTTATCTCTGGTTATTTCCTCAAATTCATATCCTACCATAACAATTATTTTTTAAACACATTAGCAATCTCTGATAATCAAACTCTCAACCCTATAGGTTCCATTTTAAGCATTTAAAAAAATATATTCTCAGGAAAATCTAAGTTCCAATTTACATTATGACCTTATAACTTTTTAAAGTTACTCTTTTAAATCTTTTATTTTAGAATATTCTATGTCTTGAGACACTTCATTTTCATACATTTATTTGCATTATATTTGTTTCGTACTCTGCTCTAAAAATCCACAGAAAAATTTCACGTGGAGAGTTTTATTACGTAAATAATTTTGTTCTGTCCTAACTTAGTCTAGAAAAAGCCCCACACTGTGAACTGCTTATCATACCGAACTCTTCCCTCTTACGAATTTTATAATGCTTTTACAAAATTGTTTAATGAATAGCATTAACTTTCACATGAATATTCAAATTCTCTATGTAAACCCTGAAAGGATCCACCATCTCAAAACTATCTCCAAAGTCTGTCTGTATAAGACAGTGCTCCCGTTTCATTCTCAGCTATAATAACTAACACCTTAATTATCATCAGAACCAAGACCATTTAATATCACTGCCCCTAATCTTTTTTTCAAATAGTAAACTTGAACACAACTGTAATTCTTTTAAGAATCTTTATTTAATTTTTTGGGAACAATTTAGTTTGCTGGATCTCGATGCAGTTTATAAAAAAACGTCAGCACAGTTTCATATAAACTGCAATCAGAAAAGTAACTTGTCAAAGAAGTTATCTGAAGTTGCAAGTTATTTTTTGTAATATGCAGAACAGGAAAATGTAAGCATGCTCTCAGATGCAGGCGCTCCTGTGTGCTATGGAGTTACTTTGAAGAGCTTGCTAAGGTCTGCGGGCAGTTTATGGAATGCAATCATTCTCTCCACAATTTTGGTACATGAGAATAAAACTGATATTTATGAAATACGTCTTTTTCTCAGAAAAGTTGAGGCAGCTTTTGTTGAATGCTATCTGTGGGAGTACACTTGATAACCTTGAACTGTACTAAGAGAAACAGACAGCCAGGAGGCCATGTTCATGCTGAAACTTGAAAACATCCCTCCAGATGTGTTGATTTCCCAGAAAAGGAAGAGGATAAAACACTAAGCACAGTTGTCCATTGTCTTACAGTAGCAGAACACACCAAGAAACTTTACATAAGGGAGCAAACTCCCTTCACTGCTTTCAGTCAAGGTCAGTGGCAGCTACAGTGGAGGGTGGTGGTGCAGCAAGCCTAGGACAGGACACAAGCTGAAGTCTACATCTCATGCATAGCTGTCCTTGTTCTGTCCTCGTGCGGTTCTCAGACATCCGAATTAGAACTGAGGTTTGTTAACCTGGGGTCCGCATTGATTTCATATCTGTAATGATACCCTTCCATGTGATCCCTGCAGGCATCTCTGATGTTATGCATCCACTTTTTTATCCCTTTGCGATTCAAATACAAAACCAGTAGGAAAATGGCGCCTATCAGGGCTAAAACAATACCCAGGAAGACATAAGACGTCTGCAGGGATGGAGGAAGGATAGGGTCACAGTCCAGGTCGGAGCTGTTGAGTTCCAAGAGGACCCGATTCCTCATTTTTTCCGGGAATGCACAGGTGAGCCTGGCTTTGCCCTGCACTACCTCTGTCTCCTTGAGCCAGGCCACCATGTCCGCCATGTGGCAGTCACAGACCCAGGGATTGTCGTCCAGGAAGACTCTGACGTGAGGCAGGCTTTGCAGCTCTGCCAGGGTGCCGTTGTGCAGGACCTTGAGGGCGTTGTTCTCCAGGTGGAGGCTTTCGAGGTGTGTCAGGTTGCGGAAGGACACATAGGTCAGGCTCACCAGCGAGTTGTTGCGCAGGTCCAGGTGCCTGAGGCCGGGCAGCTGGGCCAGGACGTCGCGGGGCAGGTAGAGGAGGCGGTTGCTGACCAGCTCCAGGCGGCGGAGCCCGCGCAGCGCGTGGCCTGCTCGCAGGGCCGCTGCCACCACACCCTCAAAGCTCCGGTTCTGCCGCTCGGCCGCAGGGGGCACGATGCGGTTCAGGATCAGTTCCACCAGGGGGCTGGGGGCCGCGACGCTGGCGTTGCCGCCCGAGAAGGCGAAGGGGCTGAGGTCGGCCAGCGGGTTGTGGCTGAGGTCGAGCTGGCGCAGGCTGGGCAGATGCGCGAAGGCGCCGGCGCGCACCTCCTCCAGGTGGCTGCCGCTGAGGTTGAGCGCGGCCAGCTCGGCCAGCGGCGGCCGGCGGGCGAAGGCCCCGGCGGGGAGCACCGCCAGCTGATTGCCGGTGAGGAAGAGGTTGCGCACGTAGGGGGGCAGGTCCGCGGGCACCTCGGTCAGGTTGCGGTTAACGCACTTGACGGTGCGCGCCGCCTCGGAGCACTCGCACGCCGGGGGGCATCGGCCCGACAGCTGGGGCTGGGCGGACGCCGCGGAGACCGGGAACGCCGAGGAGGTAGACGAGGACGCAGAGGAGGGGAGGGAGGACGACGAGACCCAGCCCAGGAGGACCAGCGCCAGCCGTGCCAGCCGCAGCCTCCCGTCCCCGGCGGCGGGGCCCCGGGAGCACCCCCCAGGCATCGCGGCTCGGGTCTCCCCGGAGCTGGGCTGGGACGCTGCCCGCTCCGAAGGTTCGGGAGGTTGGGCCCGGAGGGCGCGGGCCGGCCGGAAGCGTCTGGAGAAAACTTTGGTCTTGTGGAAGCTGAGGAGGGCCGCTGCCGCCGCCGCTGCTGCAGGAACTTGGCTAACCCCCTCGCCGCCGGGCGTCCCCCTCCCGGGGCCGAGTCCCCCGCCCCTTCCCTCCAGAAAGTACGCACGGCGGGTCGGGACGCTCAGCGCTGCGCTCTTCCTCCGCGCCTCTTCCAGCAGCCGCCCCCGGGTGGTACCTCCTCGCCTCTTTTGTTGGCGCCTCGCGCAGGATCCGAGGCGCGACCTGGGACAAGCGGGAGAGAAGCGTGAGGGGCAGCGGCGCCCGCAGCTCCCCGAGTGCAGGAACCGGCCCCTGCCAGCCAAGTCGTCCCCACTCGGTACCCGAGACCTCCCTCCTTTAAGCCCGTCCGAGCCTCGCCTCCCCCAGCGCGCCCCGCAGATCCGTACCCCGGGAGAGGGGCGCGCGACCCGAGATGCCGGAGCGCAAAGTCTTCCGTCTGCTGCGGCCCCTACTATATATACCCTTGCAGCTCCCGCCCTCCTCCTTTCCCGATCCCACTCGTCCTGTCCCCCACCCCCCACCCCCGCTCCCCCGCATCGAACTTCTCGCTTAATCCCCAGCACCTCCCGGCCAAACTTCTCACTCTCCCAGGTCCTTCCCCCCACCGTCTCCGCAGACTACCTGCCTTCCGGGGTCTCCGCCCCCCGCCCGGACTTCTCCTCCCGGCCCAGGTGAGGATGAGAGGGAAGTTTCATGCTACAGGAGTATTTTCATCTCTCAGAACCCTCTCGAATTAAGTGGAGGAGCGTATAGCTGGCGCCCCCAAGCCCGCGCCCCCTCCAGCCCCTCGGATCCGAGGGCATTCCAGTCATCTCCGAAAGGGAGGGGAGAGGCCGCGAACAAAGCGACGGCGGAACCCGAGGGGAGGGGCCCCGGAGCTGCCTTCTCCGCCACCTCCCCACCGCTCACCTCCGCGCGCCCGCCCGCCCGCCACCTCCCGAGACAACTCCCAGTCCCACCGGAGTCGCGGGGACTTCTCGGGTCCGAGCTGCGCGCCGACTCTCCTCGCACCCCAGCCCCAGGCCCAACCTCCGCAGCTGGGAAAAACCAATCCGGGGGTCGGGGGAGGGCAGGCCTGCCGGAGTGGCTGCTCCGGCCGCGCGGCCAGCCTCGGCGGACCTCAGTGGGGGGATTGAGTAAAGGAGGCGAGGGGGGAGTCTGCGCCGCGCACCTCCCCCTGGTGGAAACTGACGAGGAATGCGCCAGAAAAGATGAGGGAATCCCTTCTTCTCCCCCTTCTCCGACATCCCATGGTGGTTCCTCGTTTTGCATACTGGACTTACCTTGGACAGGAACAAAACCGCTGGTGAATCTCGTGGAATTCGTCCTGATTCGGGCACTTATGGCAGTAACCGGGTAGATTTAGGCGTCACAGAGCAACGCGAAGCAGCAGCGTAAAGAAGGGAGCTGAAAATGCACAGCGGCAGCGGTAAAACGCCCAGCAGCCTGCAAGGGAGTTTCGCGAGTCTTCCCACCAAAGTGATAACGTTCGACTGCCAACTTCAGATTTAGGTGTAATTAACGCGTCCCTACCTGTCCCGACCCCGCACTTCTCCGGATAACTTACGGAACTTGTGAAGGGAGAGAGCTAACTTTAAGAAGGGGGAAAAAAGATTGGTGGAGAAGAGATTCACTCTTGATTCATGAGCTTTTCCCTTCCCCAAATTAAAAGCAGAAGGAAGAAAACGGCCGCCAAAGCGTCCTAGAAACAAAAGGCATACAAAGAGGACGTGAGTCACCCGGAAAGCGGACCCGCCCCGCTCACCAGATGTGGCAGCGATGTGTCAGTGCAAGTCACTTAAGATGGGAGAGCTCACGGGGTGGGAGTGGGAGGGAGGCCGCCTGGGGAGAGCAGAAGTTTGGTCCCAATATCTAACGCCCCAGGAGGCGCCAGGTAGGCAGGGAACCGAGAGGCTTAAGTCGGGAAAGGAGACTCTGAATGACTGGGTATAGGGGGGATTTGTTACATCGGAGAGGTTTGGGGTCCTGCAGGCTCAATCCTTGTTCTCTCAATGACTCTGTATCTCCTTTCTCCCCATCAAATAATTTCCCTGAAAGGATGAGAAGGTGGCTGGTTATTCAAGGCTTGTTCATTTTAGAAAGAAAATGGCAATTAGAGAAAACAGTTGGGGAAATTAAGATCTGGTAATATGAAAAGGATCGAATAAAGAATGCCGAAGTTTGTGCCTGTGACGTGTGCCTTTACTGTGAAAAAAGGCCCCAACTCTCAAGTTGATTCCTTATTACTTTTGTGGGAAGAGATAGTCTGCAGAGCCAATAGCCAAAATGACCCAGACAAGACCTGGAGGGGTTGGAGAATGCAACAATTTGTGCAAAAAGCCAGTTTTGTTCACTTGTATCTTCAGCACGTTTATCTAAATTTCTTTTTCTTGTTTTTAAAAGTGTTTTTTAACACGAATGTGAAACACTTTGACAAAAGAATCTGAAAAGCTGTAGTGATGTTCTGTATCCCGATGGTGGTGGTGGTTACATAAATCTATACATGTGTCAAAATTCATAGAACTTTGTATACTGAAAAGAATCAGTTTTACTGTAGGATAATTTTTAAACAAAATTAATTACTCATGGGGAAAAAACTGTCGTAATGCTCTGGCATGATATTAATTCTGGTTCTGTTCTGTTAAGGAGTGAGAAGCACTTTAGGATTTAGAAAGATAACATTCTCATCCGATCTTAGAGTCAGCTCGGCAATATAGATACCATTAGTACTATTGTCTTGTTATTCGTGTTATTATTCTGTTTCACAACTGAAAAAACTGCAGCTCTGAACTGAGGATAGCTAGCATTGACAGTGTCTTTTACTTGCCAAGCCCTGTGCTTATCACTTTACAGAAGTTATCTCTTTTGTTCTTCCCATCAGTACTCAGGTAGGTTCTCTCGCTGCAGTTTTAAAGAGGAGAAAAACTGAGGCAGGAATCAGTTATATAACTTGTTCTAATGTGTGGTGGAGGTAGGGACCAGGCCCAGATTTGTCTGCTTTTCTTAAATAGCTCACCTTCTGCCTCTGGGTAAAATTGAGGGGTTTGTGCAAAGTCCTAGTCTGTATCACTTAGGCAGAAGCGAAGCCTCTCCCCTGGTTCTCTTCCTCCTGATTTTCTTCTACTTGCCTGCAGTTGGCAGTTGGTTATGGCTGCTGAATCCGGACTCAGAAATTTGGGGGCGTTTTTAGCTCCGCCACTTACTCATTGTGTGGTTTCTGTATACCTCCGTTTCTTAATCTGTAAAGTAGAACCACTAATAAAACGTTATGGCATTTCTATGAGAACTGAGATAACAGGCAAAATTGCCTGTTATTATTGTGCTCTTCTTAATTACTCGCCCTCTCGCCATTTATTGTGCACCCACCATACCACTGTAACTGTGTTAGTGATAGGAATCCAAGGATGAATAGTGTAAGGTCTCTTTCAAGTAGAATTGCCAGATTTAGCAAATAAAAATACAGGACACTCAGCTAAACTTGAATTTCAGATACACGATGAATGATTTTTTAGTATGACTGTGTCCCACGCAGTATTTGGGATGTACTTACACTAAAAAATTTTGTTCTTTACCTGAAATTCTAACTTAACCTGGCATCCTGTATTTGGTCTGGTGACAAAGGAGTTCATAACCTGGTGGAAGAAACACAGAAACAAGAGCTTTCAATGCAGAACATTGAATGCAGTTTAGTATGTGTATCTTTCCAATCTCTTTGTATATATTTTACTTCTGTTTTTGCTATTTTTTATATGAATGGGATCATAGTATATGTATTATTCATTATTTTTTTAGTTTTAAAATAACCATATATCATTCTGTGTCCATACATATAGGTATGCTTTCTTCTTTATTTTATAGACTGCAAAATATTCTGTTCTGTGGATTGTTTTACCACATTTTTTAACTGCCCTATTGAAAGACATTAAGATCAGTAACTACTTTTTAAAGAAGTTTCCTTCAAGTGAGAAAAGCTTACTAGGATCAGTTCTATTTTGATTGTCTTCAGCATCTAATTATCCGGAATTATCATACTTGCTTTACTCCTGACAGCTTGAACATTTTTTTGTGCATGATGCTATTTACATGCTCTAAAGCAGAACAGAGAATTTCAGAGCACATTTTCCCCCATTTATTCTTTCATTCCAAAATAAAATAAAAGAAGGATCTGAATGTCCTAATGGAGAAGAACCAATCTAGTGTATTTCATAGGTCATTTTGTAGCCTCCAGGAAAATGTCTCTGCACTATTATTTATTTAGCACATTGTTTCTTCAGGAACCGTTTTTCTTCTAATGACCCAAAGGAAAGTCATTAGTAAATTTTTGAGATATTGCTGCTAAATCCTGGGAAGGCAAGGAATAATGTAGTTTTTTAAATGATGGGTGATTATGGCTACCCTCATAGTAACTAGAAGAGAGAAACCATGTGGTGCAGCATGGACAAACGTCAAGGTTATTTAAGACTAGTTAATTTTGGTCTCTGCCTTAAATGAGCAAAGGAGTTGATAAAGGTGAACACTCTCAAGTCTAAAAAATTTCTAAAACAAAATCAAACATTGGTGAATGTCAAACACACATGTCGTAAAACCATGAACCAACACTTAAAACCAGAACAATCAACTTGATAGTCAATTTGGGGGGGGATATATATATATTTTTTTCTTTCTTTCTTTCTTTTTGAGGTACGCGGGCCTCTCGCTGCTGTGGCCTCTCCCGTTGCGGAGCACAGGCTCCGGACGCGCAGGCTCAGCGGCCATGGCTCACGGGCCCAGCCGCTGCGCGGCATGTGGGATCTTCCCGGACCGGGGCACGAACCCGCGTCCCCTGCATCGGCAGGCGGACTCTCAACCACTGCGCCACCAGGGAAGCCCTGGGGGGAAAAATATATTTTAATTGTTAATGACTAAAAAGAAAACTCTTCTCATGTGCTGATTTCAAATCATTTGTGAAAGAAATAAGCTTCTTGTCTGAGATATATAAACTAAGTAAAATATTAACTAGGGAATGGGTTGAAAAGGACATATTTGTTTCATGAGTCAGTACAATGGGGGTTGGAGCTAGTAAAAGAAAAATGTAGCAAAGACATTTCAGGATTTATCAGAAATTAAATAAATACTAAAGAAAGAACAATCTAAAAGACTGTAAAATTGGAAAGATTAAACTGGATGTAAATTTGTGATTCTTCAAGGATGAGAAAACCTTGAAACATAAATAAAACAATTATATAGCAATCTGCAGAACTTTCCAAATAGTGAACATTACAGGATTATTCAACTTTAAGTGTATTTAACTTTTTAAGTCGTTACTGTATGCCCTCCACCTATTTGATGTTCTTGGGGTACAGAGGTAAATAGGATAAAAATCCCTGCCTTCCGATAACTCACAGTCTAGTGGTGAAGGCAGATTACCTAACAGTTACAAAACATATGGTGACTGCAAGGGTCGTGGTGGAGTGGGGAGACTGGAGAAGACTTCATGGGGGAAGTAATGCCTGAATTGCATTTTGAAGTATTAGTAGGAACTTGCTAGACAAAAGGTTGGCAAGTTGGTGAAAAGACTTAGAGAACTTGTTCAGTTCTAGAGACTACATGGGGAAGAGCCCAGCACGCATTGGAGAGAGTGGTACAAGGCCAGATTTGAAACATGGTGGGATCAGATTACTGCCCTCTATTGGAAAAAGTTTGATTTCATCCTATAGAGCTGGGGAGCCTGTGAAGATATTTAGCAGGGGAACAACGTGATCAGATGTGCATTTTACAAAGATCACCTCTGCAATCTGTTTGAAGGGTAAGTTATAGGCAGAGAGACTGGGGGCAGGGAGAGAAATTGGGAGATCCAAGTGATGCATGTTGAAGAACTAAACTAAAGCAGTGTTAAAAGATTGACAAGGCAGGAACAGAATATAGACCAGTGGTTCTCAACAGGGTGACACTGCCCCTAGTGGGCATTTTGGATATTTGTGGAGGCATTTTCTGGTTGCCACAATCATTGGGGAGAGCTACTGCCCTTTAGTGTGTAGAGGACAGGAATGTTAGCTATCCTGCAATTAGAGAGACTATCATACAATGAAAAATTATGCTGCTTCCCACATGACTTTCAAGTATCCATCTAGGCATTCTTGTAGGTGAAAAACCTGATTATAATCATCTCAGCCTAGAAACAACTCCATTCTACACTTAAATTGCAAGTAGTTATAAAATGGTTTTAATATACACTGAATTTTCCAGGAATGCAGCTACCATGTTCATTGAAGAAAAAATATTGTTTTGTTTGGGACTCTACCAAAATTTTATCTCTGACAGCTATGCCACTCATGCTATTTGAGACACTAATACAACCCAACTGTATCAGTGTGCATTTGTATTTATTGCATTTACAGTATTTCTTATTTCAAAATGTCTAATGTAAAGACAAACTATTATCTTTTCACTATTCATTTGAATCTTAGTCTAATTTCTCTTAAATCCTAGCCTGTTTATAAGTAGGTGGAAATAAATTACCACTTCATTAGATCTTCTAGTATAGTTATTTATATGTTATACTACATGTTAGTTAACATTTAATTATGCTCCTCTTATTTCTCTCTTATAGTTAGTATAATATATATTTTAAAATTTGTGTGAAGGTATGCTTTATGTAAAGGGGCTTTATAAAATACTTGT